AGACGTGTGAAGAAAACCTCTCAACCATGCCATCTTGTGATGACTGTGGACTCATGTTTCAAGACGTGCAAGATTTGCAAAAACACAGAAGAAACTGGTGTCCCGAAAAGTCTTCAGTGGGTCCTCCTGGGATACCCCAAGTGAAAGGAAGTGGGAGGAAGACAACAACTTCTCTCCTGCGACGACCACGTCCTCTGGTGGATTGTGACTATTGTGGTCAAGTGTTTAGCAATAACCATAACTTACAAAGACATTTACACGATAAACAATGCCCTGAAATGGAAAATGATGAGGATGATGAATCATTAAGCGATGTCACACACAACAACAGGAAAAATAAGATGGCTGCTCTCGAAGAGCAAAGGTATAAGACAAATGTATTCACATACACGAGCTGAAAAAGACTTTTGGGATGAGAAACGACAGCTGTACATGAAAAGAGGTTTAAACGAAGACATGATTCAAGCCAAACTGAACAAATTGATGTGCAGCACGTTTAAAGAGATGTATGCACGATTTATTACTTATCTGTACCATATGCAGTATGGTCCAAAGACACGAGGAATACTGAAACAAGTAAAAGACACAAATAATATGTATCATGAGGTGATTTCAAAATTGTACCAATATAAGTCTTGGGTCGAAGGTGTGACTGAAGATGAAGACATAACATCTGATGAAGAGAGTGAAGGACAGGTTGATGAGGAAGGGTAATAAGACAACAGATGTAAAGTAGGTAGGCATTTGGGAGAGCTTCTATCCTAATGTCTACTCATTTGAAACGGAGCTAATAAACAATGAAATCTGTATCTCTCTCTTGTTTTTAATGTATTGTACCCATGAAGGTCTGGGTTACCCTTCAGTAACCCATGCTTGTCATAAAAGGCGACTAACGGGGATCGGGTGGTCAGGCTCGCTGGTTGACACACATGGCACATTGTGTAGAATGACCCTCATGCTGTTGATCACTGGATTGTCTGGTCAATTATGTACAGACCACCGCCATAGAGTTGGACTATTGCTGAGAGTGTACTAAACTCACTTAATGTATTGCTGGAGGATTGACATAAGAAAACTGTTGTACAATTCTTGGTTTTATAATACCAATTTCAACCCTATTTCACTGAATCCACAGAATTTTTAACCTCCTCATACTATTATCAGACATAAAAGTTTCAGTTTAAACGTCATTACTGTTCATTGTATTGAAGATAACAACTGTTTCAGTTCATCGTATTGAATACAAGATAACCTCAATTTTAATGATCTGTAATGAATATATATGAATATATATGAATATATATATATATATATATATATATATATATATATATATATATATATATATATATATATATAAAAACGGTTTATAAATACATAAGCTATTACAAATGGTCACTTCTGTTGTAAGCCGTTTTTGGTCTACAGGGCCGTTTTGGACCTGTAGCCATTTTGAGTCAGAACCGTTTGCAAACCGGTTTGATAGAACCGTTTGCGATCCGGTTTGATAGAACTGGTAACTGGTTTTAGGTCGGGGCTTTTGGCGCAAAGCTTTAAATGCTCTTTGTTCACCGCCATGTGCAGCCGGTATGTTGTGCTGTGTGTGTTTAAGTATTCTGGCGGTTTCATGACTGTTTAAAACAGCACAGTAGGTTTGGAATTCATGTGATGGATCATTCTATATTCTAATTTGTAAGTATTTTTGCGTTTGAACGTATTGTGTGAATAATGTTGTTGACGACTGTACACAATTGCATGTTGACTATGCAAGTGCATCTACACACTAAATTTGGTTTTATGCAAGCTATAGTTTAAAAAACGATGAACCTAGGAAAAGGTTCTCACTATGATTGGACTGTGTTTATTGTGGGGGATTTAAACATCCATGGCATATGGGAGTAATGTGTAATCAACTTTCTATCGGTCGTATTCTGTGTGTGTATCGGGCTGTGTTTATTCATATGATTATGTGAGATTTTAAAGTAGGTTCATGGTGACTCGTTCCACATGGGATATTTTGGTGAGAAGCATGCTGTGTGTGATTTTGCTATGAGTTTCAACATTTTATTCAGTTTTTTTTCACCGGCGGGCATGGCTAAGACTTTGTTATTTGTTCAAATCTATTTATTTATCATTTTTCAAAATGGCGGCGGGGGACGAGGTCTGTGACCTAATTTTACGCTTGTGCATGCATGGTTGAGTACTGTCATAAGAAAATGTTTGTTAAATGTATTTTGTGTTTACATCGGAGTCATGGGTGGGCAAATGTCTTATTCATAGTTGGAGAACAGTGTGAATCAATCTGTTGTCTCCACATGAACGAGTGTCTTGTCATACCCAACAAAACATCATGAATTGGTACCTATGGATGTGTTATTCCCTGCTGTCATTCATATGGATATGATGAACAGAGGTAAGATGACTTCATGTACACTAGAATAGTCTTTATCCCCAACACTCGTTCAATCTGATGATGATGAAAATCTTAATCTGTGTTACGATGTATTCTGTGTTACAATGTAAGGAATGAAGGTAGGACGTTGTCTACATTTGAATTTCACATTCTCAATAGTTTATAGTTATATTTAGTCAGACGGGAATTGATACTGCGATAACGGGCGCTCGGTTTGAGATAAAAGAGAAATACACTGGTAGTATATCCACAATGTGTAGTCACTCCAGAGTATAATCCAAAGATGTTTTGTAATCCAGTGAGAAATATCCACAATGTTTAATCACTCCAGAGATGTGTAGTTGAGAGGCTGAGCTATTGAAAATATAAATCCAGTGAATCACACAGTATAATCCAAGGTTGTTTAGTAATCCAGTAAGAAATACACTGGTATGGAGTATATCCACAATGTGTAATCACTAGGTGTAGTGACTTCAGAGACTGAGCTGTGTATGACATGGGGCTTGTTGCTGGGATGCGTGGGGTGTCCCTCCTTGGGACTAGTGGGTGTGGTGGCGGTGTCCCTCCTTGGGACTCTTGGGACTGGGCATGGTTGTCTCAGTGGCGTTGGGTCTCGGCGTTTCTCCTTGGGCGTTGGGGTCGGAGTGTCCCTCCTTGGGACTCTTGGGCCTGGACTGGGGTGTCCCAGCTAGTTGACCCTCTTTGGGTCGCATGGTTGTCCCTCTTTGGGACGCGTGGTTGTAAGTACACGAGTGTTTGTGTGTACTTACTATTTTTTTTTTTTTTTTTTTTTTGAGCAGACACGGCTGCTCCCCATGGGGCTGTTTGGTGGACTTTATATACCCACCTGAGTCTAAAGATAAGTTGGGGGAATCCCATGTAGAACATGAGTCATACTCTAAATATAGACTCTTCTAAAAATAGAAACACCAGGTGTTGACATGACTCATGGTCTAAACATAGCTTTTGATGCTATAATGGTCCTATTCTAAATATAACCTGTTGCCAGGGGCCTATTCTAAAAATAGATTTTGATGCCATAAAGGCCTCTATACTACTATCGCGCAATTGGGAACCGATGACATGTGTCCACCAAGTCAGCAAGCCTGACCACCCGATCCCGTTAGTCGCCTCTTACGACAAGCATAGTCGCCTTTTTGTGGCAAGCATGGGTCGATTGACAGTAGAATAGCCTTACTGTTATAAGCTCCTGGCACTGCTAGCTGGGGGTTATGACTCGTGAAGATCCGGGTTAGAATAAACCTTCAGGAACCCAAGCTTGTGTAAGAGGAGACTAACAGGATCGGGTGGTCAGACTCGCTGACTTGGTTGACACGTCATCGTATACCAACTGCGTAGATTGATGCTCATGCCGTTGATCACTGGATTATTTAAAGACCGCCGTCATATGGCAGGAATACTACCGACTGCGGCGTTAAATAACTATTCATCAATCAATCAGTCTACTGGGGGTTATGATTGGGAACAGAAAGGTCCAACTATTATGGATCGGAAAGATGCCGGTTAGAATTGGTCTTCAGCAGCCCATGCTTGTCTTAAAATGCAACTAATGGGATTGGGTGATCAGGTTTGCTGTCCTGGTTGACAGTGACACATGTCATCGTATCCCGATTGTGTAGATCGATGCTCATGATATAAATCACTGGGTTGTCTGGTCTAGATTTGATTATTTACATACTGTCATCATACAACAAACGAACAACAAGAAAGCATTGGAAAGTTTACATTTATTTTCAGGGAGTTCCAAACGTTGACAAATTGAAATATTCACAGTAAACGTTGATTGGTCTTGCAATGAAAAGACATCTACACCGCATTCAAAGTGAGACGACACTCTTAATTCTTAGCCTGTATTTGCATCCCACAAAAAAAAACCCAAAACAAATCAGAGATTCCTTCTATTTCCATACCCGTGAAGATCCGGGTTAGAATTGGTCTTCAGCAACCTATGCTTGTGGTATGAGGCGACTAACGGGATCGGGTGGTCAGGCTCGCTGACTTGGTTGACACATGTTACGATATTGATCACTGAATTGTTTGGTCGATTATTTACAGACCGCCGTCATATGGCTGGAATATTGCTGAATACGGCGTTAAACAACAACCAAACCAAACTAAAATTTATTTTTATCGGTAGCCACGGCAACGTGTTAAACAACATCCAAACTAAAACTGAACGCCAAAAGAAATGTTACACCTCTAAACATTAGAATATCCTAAAATGTTATATGGATAGAAGACTTTGGTTTGGTATGTTTAAACATCCAATCATGTAACTCTATTGTGTCAAAACATCAGACTGAGGAAGTCTTTGATAATTAGGATATCGACATGTTTGTTTAGGTGGGGTCCATTGTCCTATTTTCAATCATGTAAAAATTCAAATCAAAAGTGTAAAAAACAGTTAAAAATGGGTCCAAATGATATTGTTTATGATGATAATGCATGCACATTCACAAAGAGTGATAAAGTTGGGTTTTGGATTGGAAAGAATGGTTGTTTACCGTAAAAAGGGACCCAATGCTGAAATTTAATTTTTTGTCTCTTTAAAACACATTCCAACCACTTGAGGTTTAATTTTTGGATCATCATGACTTTCGACTGTTTTAGGAAGTCGTCAAACGAGAAAAGACAAATGTTTCCCTTAGATATTGTAAAATTTTGCCTATTTCTGTCCTTGTATAATTGGAAGCATAACGCCAAAAGGCGTACCCATTGTAACCATACATTCACTTCACCGAGATTAACATGAATGCTACAGAATGCTACAGAATGCTTTAGAATGCTTTTTGGCCCATGTTTTAACAGTCAGCATCTCAGGCGTCGGTTCTTCAAACACAGTGGACAAACGCAAAGCCCAGTCATCTAGATATTCCTTCAGAAACCTTTTCCTCCGTCCCAACCTTTCTCGACACCAAATGAAACCTGAGGGGGTGCTTGCCATAAAAGGACGTCGAATCCGACCACGTTCAAAGTCCCAACCTGTAAAATACATCATAAACCTTGTAAAGAGAATCTCACCCAAGTGTCTTCTGATAAAACTAAATATATCAACACGATTAAAGTTACAAATATCAAAAGACACGAGGGTGAAATTCTATTTATCATAAAAAAAACACTCTTCTTTATTTTTCAATAAAAAATGGACGTCTGTGAATATGGTACTGCCATTGGACTTGCAGTGCAGCGATGTCATAGCATTGTGACTTCATCAAGTTCATGACGTAATAGCATTGTCAGGGGATTGCACAAAATCTAATTTCAAATCTATCTCCAAGGAGATCTCGTTTGTTCTCAGACAAGCAATATATCCTCAGAATTCTCGTAAAAGACCTCTCTACCTTTTTCCCGGATTGAACCCGGAGAGTATAGCCAGTTTGTTTGTAGTTTAACGCCGCACTGTAATTTATGGCGGCGGTCTGTAAATAATCGAGTCTGGACCAGACGATCCGGTGGTCAACAGCATGAACATCGATCTACGCAATTGGGATACGAGGACACATGGTCAACCAAGTCAGCGAGCCTGGCCATGTTAGTCGCCTCTTACGACAAGCGTGGGTTGCTGAAGACCCGGATCTTCAAGTGTATTAGAACGTACACATCTGCCAGCCCACTCTATAATCAGAGCATTAAATTGGGGTCCGATTTTGTTTAGCGGTTACGATAGATATCAATGTCTAGAATTCCGTGCATAAATGCTACCCAGAGTTGAATCTAGAGTCACTCCGTTTAACAATTGGTTTTCAGCAACCCACGCTTGTAAGAGACGACTAATGGGATCGGGTGGTAGGCTTGCTGACTTGGTTGACACATATCATCGTATCCCAATTGCGTAGATCGATGGTCATGATGCTGATCACTGGATTGTCTGGTCCAGACAGCCACCATATAAACTGACCGACAAAAGAAAGTATACCAAAAGTTACCATTTCTCAAATCGTAAAGAAATATTTTTTGTAGGTAAATAATACACTGAAACATGTCACCCCAACGTTTCAATTTGATACCTGCAGTGAAATTCACGTGCACGTCGTGAATTAAACGTCGAAGTGATCAATTGTATAAACCATGATTTTGGGCCTCTGTCAGAGATCCACATGCACTAAAAGTTAGTGTGCGAACAGGTTACACATGCAGTTTGAAAATGATCACGTGGTCACAGATATGCCACGACTATCAGCGGTTGAACGTGAGAGGGTCATAGGTATGCTCTAGATGGGGTCGACACACGGCAACGTTACAAGAGCCTTCAGCTGCACCCGTGTAGCCGTCTCCAGACTGCTGCAACATTACAGGCAGACGGGTCAGACACAGGACAGACCAAGATGTTTGAGACCGCGAGTAATAACACCAGCTGAAGACTGGCATTTGAGGACGTTAAACCTGAGAAACCGTTTCATGACGATAACGTCATTAGTGTCGAATTCCCTTGATCACCGTGTCAGTTGATACACGGTGGCTAGACGTCTTCGGGTCGCAGGTATCAGAGCCTACAGACCCTTCACAGGACATGTGTTGACCCTTGAACACAGACGTCACAGATTGTCCGAGTTGTTCGTCGTTGGCAGCGACGAGAGGAACAACGTGAACGTTCTACAGTGGCCAGCAGGTTCTCCAGACATGTCCCCGATCGAGCACATACGGGATGCACTAGACAGAAACGCCCTAACCCACCACAGAATAGACAGCAACTTGCACAAGCCCTCCAGGACGAATGGCGTCACATACCACGTGACTTGTCCGACGTCTGATATCTTCGGCTAGAAGGAGACTGCGTGCCTGTATTGATGCAGGGGTGGACATACAGGATACTAAAGTGATGGCAGTAAACATTTATTGTGTGTAACTCATTACCTGCTTATCCTCTATGTGTTTGAAAACTGGTTTTCAAGACCACCAGTGAACTTGCGCATGTCTGACGCCACGTGTTTATGTAGTATGCGTGTGATTTTTAGCTCAGGTTGAGAACAGATGTTGTTAACACCACTGTATGTTTGTGTGTCTAGGAAGTCTGGGTCAATGGTAGTGACCTCTTGAAAACCTTGTATACTTTCTTTTGCCGGTCAGTTTAGTAGGAATATTGCTGATTGCAGTGTTAAACAACAAACCAACCAAGCATGGGTTACTGAGGACCAATTCTAACCCGGATCTTCACAGGTGTTAAATGAAAGTATTGGAACCAGTTACTGTTTTACAACTTATACATACTTGCATTGGTAAGAGCATGGCTTCCAGGGACTCCTGGGGTATGCTCGGAGATCCGGTAGTAAAGGACAGTAGCGCCCTTTTACCCTGGAATCAGAAAAATAGATAGATCTTATCTCGGTTTAAGGCGTAAACTTCAGTCAAATCTAGGAGTTTGGTGTTTGAATGAATCATAGCAAAGCCTTTGTGCCCCTTACTTTATCGGTTGGCTGGCACTATATACACTGGCTGGCTGAGTATTTTAAGGCAGTTTATGGGCAGTGGGACCTAGTAGGTAAAGCGTTAGCTCGTCACACCGAATACCCAGGTTCGATTCCCCATCTGGTTACAGTGTGTGGGGCCCAGTTTTGGTGTCCATCGCCGTGATACTATTTACAGGTAGTTCATCTTACTTCTGGGGCTGCGGGATAGCATAGTAGGTATCGCGTTCGCACCGAAGGCCCGTGTTCGATTCCCTACGTACAACGAGTCAGTGGCGGTGGGATAGCCTAGTCGAAATATTGCTGGAATATTGCTGAAAGCAGTGTAAAACCGTACTCACTCACTACTATGAATGAACCCCATTCCTGGTGTCCTGTGGCGTAATATTGTTGGAATATTGCTAAATCAGCGTAAAACCTCACTTACTCACTAACTCACCCTTACCCTTAACAAGGAGCGGTGGGGTAGCCTAGTGGTTAAAGCGTTCGCTCGTCACGCTGAAGACCCGGGTGCGATTCCCCACATGGGTATAATGAATGAACTCCATTCATGGTGTCCTCAGGCGTAATATTGCTGGAATATTGCTGAAAGCAGTGTAAAACCCTACTCACTCACTAACTCACCCTTACCTTCAAATCACCTTTTTTGTAGAATCCTGTTTTGCGGACGAACCCCGACATGACCTGTATGACCCTGTCCATCCAACCCTTCAGTATGGCGGGAAATGAGCCCCAATACAGCGGGAACTGGAACACGACCAGGTCCGCCTGCTCCACCTTGTCCACCTCCTCCTGGACATCCTTGCTTACATCAGATGGACCTGCATCTGAAACTGAATGGAGCAGCGGATTTAAACGGGGACTGCGACTGTAGGAACACTCACGCGGTCCTCCGTCCTCATCCTGGACATCCCTGTATACATCAGCTGGACCTGAATCTGAAACTGGTGCAGGACCCGCTCGTCCTTATTCACTTCTGTCTGAGGGACAGTGGGAGAATGTGAGGTGAAGTGAGGTGAAATTGGGTTTAACGTCGTGCTTGAGTATATTTCGCTCATATGACGACGTGCATGCGTGTGTGTATGTATGTGCGGCTGCTTGTACTAGCCAAGACTTAAGCTGGTTTTATAGTGCAAGCCCACTGAGATACCATGCCGCAGTTAAATATGAATACCCCACTCAGACACATTGTACTGACTCCGAGCCGACCAGTCCTTGTTGTACCCATTAATACCGAGCACCAGGCAGGGACCAACAAGTACCATATTTGGTAGGACGCGGTCGGGGATCGAACCCGCGACCTTCCGTTCTCCGGGCAGACGGGAGAACGTGAGAGACGGAGAGACTTATACACACATTTATTGTCCATGACAGGAAATACGAGTTGAAAGGGTCCAGTCAAGGGAAGATCTGAAGAGCAGTCAACAGCGAGTGGAACATTCCAGAATGGTTTTGTACCAGAGCGTTCTAGAAGTACCGTTTCACCCCTACACCAAACCTGTTCATATGCAAACCTGAAAAATCTTCAAGTCGAACCAGTGGATCAAATTTCATCTTGTACAGGTCGGACACGATGACGTTGTGGCCTTTTGACGACAGCTCTTTGATAGCCTTTTGCAGGAGGGCGCCATTGAACGATTCAGGTTTGGGGTGAGCGTACACAATCAGCACAGTCTTACCTCCCTTTGATGATGTGTTACCTGCAGCCGCCATTCTGTTGGTGAAAGAGGCAAGTGGTTGATTATAGAATGTGAGAGGAATTAATAATAATTATCAAGGTTGACCTTTAGCAGCAGTGAATTTGAGTAGAGGTGACTAACGGGGCCAGGTGGTCATGCTCCCTGACTTGGCTGTACGCATGTCCGATCCCAGTTCTAGTGTTTCCCCCAGGATTATGAAAGGGCAGGGTCGACTCAGAGAAAAAAGGGCACTTTAAAATTCAAAAGGGCATTCAGCAAACAAAAAAGGCACAACAATTAAGGGTTCAATAATTTACTGTGGCTGACATCATTTGGGTCTGTTTGGCATGCTTTGATGCAAGTTCATAAAATTATTCGTTCATATTCGCCTCTTCTTTCGTGCCAAGAACTTGGCCACACACTTCCTCAAGTCAATGTCAGTAGAAGACTTAGCATTCATGCTGACCATAAGTTGCTTGGTGCAGTTATTTATTTCAGCCTGTTCCTATGGTCTGTCACAATGAGTTTCACCCTGGAGAAGACTCTCTCAACCTCTGATGTCGAAAGGATCACAGTAGCATGGATACTCAGGAGCTTCACAATGTTTGGGTAGAGGTCTCCCAGTTGGGGCTTGAGGCTTGTCAGAGTCTTCAGGATACTGGATGGTGATCAGGTGTCAACTTCGTCAGCAAAGAGTTCCTTGACCTGACTCCACTCAAGCTGTGTTTTATCAACATCCAGGCCAAAGTGCTCTGCCAGTTCTGTAATCGGCAAAACTTGAATAGTATGTCAATATATGAAAATGTGACATCCAACTTGTGTCCAAACCATGGATCCATTTCGTCCTTTCATATTCCACTTAGTGCAAAGAGAAGAAGACATCATGGAGCTTGTTTCACCCTCCTCGTTTGCATCCTCAATGTATTTTTAGCCAGGGGCGACCTTGTTTCCATTTGGTATCGAAGACAAGCTTGTGACCTGCATCTTTCTTCTTCTGAGTTGTTTAAGGAGCTGGACCACTGGATGACATCCACTTGTAAAGGTCATAGCAAACAAGTTCTGAATCTTCTACATCGGGTCTGAAATACACATACAAATCAGTTTATTTCCAGACAAAATTTATTGTATTTTGTAATTTGGTAATAAGAAAACAGCCTTTGAATATTAAGAAAATAAGAATAGTAAAAATACCTTGTACTAATGAAAGTACTTTTTCACACACAGAAAAAAACAGTTCACACTTTTATTACATTTCAGTTGAGGATAAATTAGGTAAAATATCAGATAAATATACACAAAAGTTTGGAACAATTATTTTTAAGTTTGAAAATCTTTAAGACTAGATATGGAGACAGATAAAAATTGTCTTTGTTCATTGCAGACACCTTATCCACCACAAAATCTACTAACTTCAAATTAAGTATATATAGAAAAATTAATTTAGTATTTCTACCGATATTTTAGAATATGAAAAACTACATGTATGCAGTGCAAAAAATAAACTTAGATACGTTCAGAAATAGACATGTTTGATGTGGCTTCGATTCCTGTGTCTATTTCGTGTGGAATAATTACTTCGGTAATTCGTACATTTACAAAGAGTAAATAAAATTTCAACAGATATACCCAGTGCAAATATTAACTATAGCAAACAAGAGGGTTTTGTGTCTATCTAGAAAATCGAAATGAGAAATACGTGCTTCCGAAAGATTTCTTTCCAGAGCGAGGTCGACTGAACTAGGAGAAATTAAAAGTAAAAAACAACCATATTAGAATCTATTCACAATCGTAATATTAGAGAGGATAACAATCACCGAGTGTGTTTTAAATACTTGAGACAAGCATTGAAAAGGAAAAGGAAAAGAAAAAACTTCGGAATAAACTGAAGTGATCATGTCCGATATGGCTTCCCTTTGTTTCATTCGTTTTTATTTTCTCCTCACAAAAAGACTATAAAATAAGATATGGACGTAAAGTATTTACAGCAAAGATTCTTAAACATAACAGAGACGGAATGGGCATGTTTTATTAGCTACAAAGAGATCACCTGAACCTAGATTATTGCTGGAAATGATTTCTAATTTTGCCGCTATCGGTTCAAAATGGCGGAAGTCATTGTCAAGTCGTACCTGTTTGGCGCGAAGAAATCCACGAGTCGACGACACTTCCTTGCTTCAGCCTTCACAGCTTCTTCTCTTTTCCTCTTTGTTCTGTCTTTGGTTGGCATTGTGAATCAGAATGAAAACGAACAAAGCCGAAATCGCCATGACTTAAATAGGTAGTTTTATTGCACAACAAAAACATCCGGGAAGGGAGCTACTCTAAGGACAGATAATGCGGTGATTCAAAAGGGCACAGCGCTAAATGAAAAGGGCAGGGCGCTAAATAAAAAGGGCAGGGCGCTGAATAAGAAGGGCAGGGCGCTGCGCCCTGCCAAATATGCCTGGGGGAAACACTAGTTACATTATGCAGCTTGCATACACCATTCCTTTACAGCGACTGATCTATGGAGGAGATACTTTGATGTGCGGTAGACCGTGTAAACCTCCCTATAAATGTAATAACAATGAAGGTAAAGAAGGTATTGAATCAGCCTGTGCAAATGGGAGCAGTGAAGCGTGAAGCTGGTGATTGTCCGTTAGGTCTACTCCCATTTGTGACAACTCCCAGTTGTGAGACTCCCAGTTATGAGACAGTGAAGTCGGTAATTAACAATTAACAACGAAAACACACCATACTCCCCTGTCTGATAGAATGGATTCACCCTACCTTATTACTTATTTGCTATGTAACTGAATCTTGTGGAGGTAACCTAATGAAACTTTATAAGATAAATTGATTAACATACTCAGGTAAATGTCTTTAATAATTGAACACTTTGTGTAGGTAACTTCGTGATCAAAGAGAAATTCATTTACCTACTCAGATTTACTCCGTCTCCGAAACTACAAGCTATAGTTTAAGAAATAACTCTGCAATAACTCTGAAATTTACAGTCGAAATGCCCCTTATGCCAAACCCTTTCTACCCGACACAATACATTTATGGAATGCCCTACCAAATTCCAAAGAGTCATGCAGTCAGAAAGAATTTTAAAACCTAATTACAAAAAACCGAAAACAAGATTTATATTGATCTTAATTATGGCTCTTGTTTTTGTCAAATCGTTCACTGCTGCTCGGATATAGCGACCCAAACGCCGATAAGTATAAACAGACAGACAGACAGTTTTATTCAGTAAAATGTTCTGCTCTTAATTCTAATTTGTACATAATATAAGAATAAAGAAACCTTCTTAATCATATCGACATTTGCAGATTTCATGATATGGATAAAGTTGTTTATCGTCAGCGGCTTACTTAAATATTTCCCAATATATTTCCCTCGAATATCAGAGAAACATTCACAAATATACAAAATATGCCACTCATCTTCAACAACATTAATACCTTTGGATTTACAAAATAAACAAAATCTTTCATTAGAAGCAATATCTTCATATCTCCGAGTCTCTCTTGCTAGATTAAAGTTTCCGCATCTAAATTTTGAAAGGGCAGATCTCAAATTTAAATAAATATTACAATTTAAGTAGTTTTCTACATTTAACAGAGTCTTATACTGACAATAATAAACAGTTTTATGTGAATTTTCAATGGAAGAATACCAGGATTGCTTTAAATTATCGGTTAGTCTTTGTTTAAAAAGAAACATCAAATACTTGACATTACCAAAATCCTGACTGACCCATGCATAGCCAAAACCATAAGTAAATAAAATATGTTACCCAAGTTACATAGTTACCCAAGTTATATGTCCAACATCATCTAATGATTTCAGCATTTTGTAACAGTGTTTTGGGAGTCTGTTTGGGGGTAAGTACATTAAATGACACCAATATTTGATAACCTTAGTCATATATACAATTTGTAAAGGGAGTCTACCACATTCTCCAAGTACCACATTATTACAAGTTGATTTACCAACTTTTAAGAAATACTTACAAAAATTAATTTGTACAGACTCTATGAGTTTACAATAACTGGTGCCCCAAACTTCAGCTCCATAACATAATATAGGTGAGATCATACAATCAAATATTTTAAACAAATCTTTACAATTGACACCACCGATTTTTCTTTGGAAGTTATTTACAGAAAATAATGCCTTATTGGCCTGAGAAACAAGACAGGCCCACCATTTCTAAAAACAAGAATCTTAGTCTTTTTAAGATTTACTGACATACCAGTGAGTTTACAAAATTTCTCAAGAACATTAATCTTTTTCTGTAATTGGTTGCATGTATCAGACAGTGCTGAGACATCATCAGCAAACATAAGTGAACATACATTATCAAAATCTGATGAAACAGTTACACCTGAACCACCCTCCAGTTCCATAAAGTACATAACTTGTTAATGAAAATAATAAAGGGTTGTAGTCAAAAGGGCCGAAGGACAAAAGGGCCGATAAAAGTCAAATGGGCCGAGGCTAAAAGTGAAAAAGGCCGAAAAATAAAAAATAGTAATAAATTATAATAAGTGAAGTTTTTTCTTGTTGTAAGTTTTAAATCCATTAGGGAGGAGCTGCAGAGAAATCATTAAAATATTGACACAGTTCACTATTTGTTACGAGGGAGGAGTGGACAGCCAGGTGTTCGAGAAGCACGTGCACAAGTGCCCACCAAGTTATTGATTCATTAGCTTTTGCTGTGCCGTCTCCATCCTTTCTCGCACACCTGGCTGTCCCTTTCTCTGCACTCCTCCCTCGTAACAAATAGTGTTTCATTGACACAAAGTAAGGATAAAAAGTGATTGAGCCACTGTTGACAAGAAATAGAGGCAGACATATTACTAGACATTTTATACTGTTTGAGTAATTTCCAAAACTGCTTAGGATCATTGCTGGCTTCAACAAGTTTCTGTCTATGTGTATACATGTAATTATCTCTCTTGATACTGAATGTCTTCTTGAACAGATTACGAAGTTGTCTTAATATATCCAGATCTTGATTATTATCTCTATGAGCTCTAAGTGCAGAATATTTATCATGTTTTAATTGTTCCAACTCTCCATCCCACAATGGCGGTTGGGATTTATCACTAGAATTCATGTTTGTCTGTTGTGATACACAGTCCTGGTATGAGCTGCTGCTTCCTGGAATACACTGGTAAATAAATTTACTGCTTCATTGATGTCTGTATATACGAGATCGTGGTACACTTGCAGAATACCTAATTACATTGTATGTACATTCTATTGTGCATGTCAGGCTCCTATATATAGAAGAAACAGAGAGCGCGAGCCTGCGAGCGATCCAATAAAAATACGAATTTAAGGTAAAACATAAGGTTAAAATCGAATTCCTCACCTTACTTCCAGTTTAGGAAACCTATAACCTTATAGCTAAAACGGCACCACAGCAGAACGGCACCAAATTTGTGTGGCGAAGACGGCAAAACCATATTGGCGACAATATTGGCTACTGATTTCTGGGCTAAAACGGCACCATATATAACGGCACGTTGACTCATGTTTATATCATTTCATTATAACATTAGCAAGATTATATCAACATATGAGTCATTCTCAAAATCCGTGCATATTTATGTCAGATGTTTGTATCCGACAAACTTAAGTCAAAATCAAACCAAAACAAGAAAAAATTGTGTCCAGGGACACGGATGCCCCCGCTGGCATTCATAAGACATATAAAGATCAATAATTGAACAAAATTCACAACAAGTTCAATAAACATCTATGCAACTATGACATGCACACCTTTCGAGTCTCAATGAAACACATGTATAAGCTTAATTAATTCTGTTGAGCAGTTTTTGTGGAGAAGTGGATAGACTTAATCCCTTATTTCACTATCATCAGAGAGAAATTCAGGAAAATTTATCTTAGTTCAAAATTCTCTAAACATACACCTTTAGAGTCTCTATAAAAGACATATGTAAGCTAAATGAGTTTTGTGCAGCGGTTTTTGAGGAGAAGTGGATAAAGTACACCCCCTGTTGTATGGGACGAACTGGATGAATAGAGCCAATTCAAATTCAAACATCTGTAGAAGTGACAAAATTAAGAAATTGGATGAACAAGGTATGAGACGCACACCTTTAGAGTCCCAATGAAACACACATAGAAGGCCAGTTCTGTTGAGCAGCTTTTGTGGAGAAGTTGACAGACTTCATCCCCTATAACACTATTGTCAGTGAGAAATTCAACAAAATTTATGCAAGTTTAAACGGCATTAAAATTGGAAAAATAAATAAAATACAAAATCAAAATATGAGATGCACACCTTTGAGTCCCTATAAAACACATGTGTAATCTAAATGAATTCCATAAAGTAGTCACAATATTTTTCCACACTTTACAGTAACAAAAGTAGGGAAACTATATTTTTATATTTACTTTCAACCACCCATCCATGTTATATTGTAAAACTAGATATTTTTCAATATATATGTACATGAAATAAATATTATCTTTGGATTTTTATTTTGATTTTCAAAATGATGTGACACAATTTCAGATGAAAATGTCTAATAAAAAGGTAAAATATGAAAAATGAAACATCATTAAACTTGCATAATATATGTTATGTATATTCAGAAAAATTATTATGTTATGTTTACCCCAAAAGAAAAAACCCCATAAAACAAAAACCTA